GGTCAGAGAGAAGTCGATTTCGAGGCATTTTTCTGTGCCTTCACAGAATATTTCATATTGGCTTCTTCTTCTTCTGCTTATTCTTTCTCCGGATTCTCACTTACATGGTCTTTATGATATGAGCTATTTTTGGGGCCTTAACAGATTTACATTTTCTCGCATGGTGTTGGTCTTTTGCTCTTCTTGGCCGAAAGCTCTAATCAAAATTCCGAACGTGCTTCAACATCACGAGATAGTGTTCCTATACAGGAGAGTTGTGGAATCTTTGCCTGATATATAAACTGAGCTAAAATTGTGAGGAGCAGCGTCGAATAAAGCGATCACTCTCTCTCGTCTTCAAGCAGCAGAATCGTCAGACGCGCGGCTTTCACATCAAGTGGCGACCACGGCAGCCCGAGGATCAATTGGCGGCCACGCAACGACTGAGTCTACAGTCTTCAGTTTCCCTGCTACAGTGAACAACCGACTTCACTTAGTCTCCTCTTCAATCAACGTGAACAATGTCGCCCAACGACAGTATCAAAATAAGACGTCAGCTGGGCTTCTATAAGAAGCAAATTCAACGGCTATGCTCGACCGCGACGCTCACTGCAAAAGAATATGACGTCAACGCAAGGCAGCCCAATTTCGAGAGCCTCGATGACGATGAAATCGAAGCATTCCGACTCGAAGTCACTACAGTGCGCCACAACTTACTCAAAGCTTATTCGCAAATAACGAAACTCCATGATGAATGGGTTCTCCTTCAAGAAACCGATCCTGCTGAAGTTCAACAATTCAACAACTACATCTCCAAATATGGTGATTATCGAAACACAATTACCGAAGCGGTCGCCAAACTAGAAGAAATGGATCTACTCCTAAGCGCGACTGATAAAGAATGCCATCGCCGGCATTTGAGTATTTCCTCGGCATCTTCAGCAGTAACCATACCAGATGAAAATGGTCAACGTCATCAAGCAACAGCCGCAATCGCCCCAACGGCAGCACAGGCATCATCATCACAACTACAAGGTCCTAGCAATTCGCTCCTCAACTTTGTCGACGCCTCTATACTGACAAAACTGGAACTGCCAACCTTCGATGGTAATCTTCTCGAGTATCCCGAGTTTGCATCACGATTCGCTACCCTCGTCGGCAACAAAACACAATTGGACAACACTACGAAACTGTCATTGCTCAAATCGTGCTTACGAGGACGTGCACTGCAGTCAATCCAGGGATTGTCAATGACACCAGAAAACTTTGCAGTCGCCATGGACATTTTACGGACCCACTACGACGACAAGGTTACCATGAGGCATATTCTCTACACTAAACTTGCACAACTTCCCGACTGTGATCCGGAAGGACGAAATTTACAAACACTCTACAATCGCATGTTTGCTCTCGTTCGACAATTCGCTAATAGCAACGACGATTCGAGTGAAGAGGCGCTAGGAGCAATATTGCTCAACAAACTACCTGCACGAGTGAAAAGCAGAATTTATGACATGACGACACACTCCCATAATCTCTCACCAAGTGAACTTCTACGCCTACTCACGGATATTGTTCGCAAGGAGTCAGTTCTCTTCGAAATGGATTATCATTCCAAGTCAAACCAGACACCACATAGCCAGCATCACGGCTTCCATGTCATCGCGAATCCGAAAAATCAACGGCAACTACAAGCAGTCCGTTCCAGACAGAAACTGAAGCTATGTCCGTACTGCAGCCGCAATCACCTACCAATTTTCTGTGACTCCTTTGTGACACCTCAACTCCGAAGTCGCCGAGCAAAAGAACTACGTATGTGCTTGAACTGCTTATCAAATCAACACTTGATCAAGGATTGCCGTTCCAAGCGCACCTGCAAGTTTTGCAATAAACGTCATCATACATCCCTCTGCTTTTCACAATCCCGCTCGCCACAGCAGAACAAATCTGCAGGAGAAAGATATGCAGCAACTCGCACTTCTCATCCGCGACGGGTCCAGTCATTTCAACAAGCAGCCAACGTTGCCGAAACAATTTCTGAGGTAACAATCAATCCATCCGCTTCTGTCTCTACAAATGCTGATGTCGCAATCACTGCGTGTACGTCTATCGCTCCAACAAAACCAAAATCTCCTACGCCCACTTCTCTTATGTGCACTCCGGTACGCCTTTTCAATCCTTCCAGTCCCTCCTTGGAAGTCACAGTAGCCGCATTTTTGGACTCCGGTTCAAGCCAGTCATATATCACAGAAGAGCTAGCCGAACTTCTTCATCTTCCTCCCTTATCAACGGAAGACATTTCGATATCGACTTTCGGCACTATCACTCCTTTACAAATGAAATCAAGCAATCACGTTATTGGTATTCTCATGAAAAATGGAGAAAAACACTTGAACGTGAAATCAGTGCTACAGTTGCATCCCAGGAGCGATAATGGATCTCGCCTGTACGAGCGATGAAGGAGAGGTGACCGCCCTGATCACTTGTGAGGACCAATATCAAATTGCCAAATGCACTCCACGCACAAAACTCAACAAACTCGTTTTTCACTTTTCTACCAGTCAAGTATCACTTCCTGCTCTGCTTCGT